TAAAAACAAAGAATTACCAGATTTTTGATTTTTTTTTTTTTTTACCTAATTTTTGTTTCTGAGAAAAATTAGAGCCACATATGAGGATATTCGTTTAGATTTTTGATAGAACCGAGGTAGTATAATGTCCTCGTAAGTGGATATCAGGCCCTTGTAGAGCAAAATTTTGTATTTTGGTCTAGACAACCCAAAATGTGATGTGGACGCCAGGTCCTAGGAGGTTACAGCAGCAGCAAACAAGCTTGGATTTTAAAGGTCATGTAAATTACAGTTTTTTTTAAATAGATTTTGGTGGGCTCACGCCTGCCGTGCATGGATTCAGTGATGTCAGCATTTGAAGCAGAAAAAGGCAAAAACATTCTACACTTGTTTGTGTTTTGGCCGTTTGAATAAACTTTATTTGTTCTGCTGTCACTGGTTTTTGCTGTAACTTCAGTTCTCAGTATTTTAACGTAGGCAGGCGGTGGTGGGAGGGCTGTGCCGTTTGGTCTTCATTCATTGGACGGCAACATCAACAACAACAGAAAAAATACTATGAGCTGTTGGCGTCATGTTTTCCTGTGAGGTCACAGTAACCACGCTTCACTGTTTGTTCAACCCCCGGAAAGTTCGAATTGCTCAACCAGCTGAGGTTACAAACAAACGGCACCCTGCAGAGCACCAACGGGCTCGGAGTTGCCCAATCCAAACAGCCATTCACTTCTGTTTGTCCTTATGAGGGTGTTAAGTTGAAAACATCACAATCCTGACAATACAAACCAAACATTCAAACATTTGGAGATAACATTTAAAATAAGATGTTTACAAACCAAAGCAATGTTCAGATTTAAAACAATTTAAACTGGAAATGTGTTAGATGAATTTGATATTATGAAATAAACCTGAAGAGGGCAAATATAAATCAGTCGATCAAAGTCTGCTTTTTTTTCTTCTTGAAATGTGAAAATTTAGTCCAGATTTGAAATAAGTCTGAATTTGTGATATTTCAGAATGACAAACTCCAAATTCAATAATTAGTTTAAAGAGAATTTCAGAATTTTAAAATTAAAATAAACATTTACTCTAAGAATAAATTGAAAAGTAATTATTAGAAATTCTATTTAAAAAAAAAAACTTCAGTTAAACCCGAATAAAGTCTTTGTCTAAGCAAATAAAAATAAGTCATATTTTGTGTTATTTAGAAAATAAATTCATTGTATTAGTTCATTTACAGTTTTGAGTTTTTGATACATCTAAATTTTCCCTATAAAACAACAAAACTGAATATATATGTTGATGTGTACAAGAAATAATTATATCGAAAATAAGTCATTATTAAGTCCAAAATCAACGAATTAAGATTACATTGAAAAGTGTTTTTGTTTTTTGTCAGTACATATTCTGAGGTTAAACATGATTTTTTTTTTTTTTTGGTGACAGTTTTGGTTTTCGGGAGAAGTCTAAAAAAAGTTTTAAACTGAATGTCAAAGAAACTTTTTTTCAAAGAAGTGTTATTGTTCATGTTATTGTTAGAAATTTGAACTCAAAGTTGATTAAAAATGCATGCCATGGAAGAGTGCTCTGCAGGTGTGAGAGGGCTTCTCTGCTGCCGCTGATCAGACCAACCCCACACCAGGTAACTAGTGAAGGCCAAACTCTGACCGTCTGAGGGGTAGTGAGACGACTCAGACGCCTACAGATCAAAAATAGAACATCTGCTGGCATCCGTCTGTCTGTCTGATCACTTCATTAATCACTGAAAGAGCTTCATTTTGTCCAAAACACAGTTTACCGTCAGCTGTGACAATGATGGAGTATCAAATCCACAAACGTTGGGTTAGGTGGATAACTGTTGATCACATTATTGTATTAATAAATGACTGCTGTTGGTTTTTACTCAGCATCTGATGGAAGCTGCAGATTATTTGTTTCATTAACTTTAAACTGAAAGCATCCACAGTCCCGTGATGAAGATGTGCTTCAGGTTAGACTGAAGGAAGAGGACAGTCTTCCTCTCGGGCTTTAATCAAAGTCAGGAGACTCGTTAAGACCAATGCTCCGTGTTCAGACTTCCAGCTCACGGGATGACTTCAACCTACAGGAAGTCCTGCACGATTCATTTGGATTCATTTTATAAATAAAAATCCACATTTTCAAATTAAAGTCAAAACAAATTTAAAATTCCAACCTTGTGTGTCTGAAGTTTACAATTTCGGGATTAAAAGTGACAAAGTTGTGAATTTTATGAATCCAAGTTATGAGATTAGTGTGAACTATACAAATCTAAGATTTGGATTTGAGGATTGAGCAAACAGAGAGAAAGTTACATTTAACACTAAAAAGTCTGAGTCTTTACATTTTAGTTCAGATTAGGACAGAGATGACAGGATTAGACGGTCAGGATTCTGCATCAATACTTTGTCAGCACGACGTGGGACTTTCCTGGAAAAAACAATCAAAATCAGGGACTCCAAGAACGGCTGCAGCAGGAAAATTCTGGGAAACTAAACTCAGACAAAAATAAAACAAGGGGATTTTGAGAGGCTGAAAACCCACCACTCAGAGGAGGAGGAAGAGTTTGTTTTCCTGCCCAGGCCTCCCTCGTCCACCTCCTCCTTTTATTACCTCCCTCTTGGTTTCCAGGAACCTGGCAGCAGCTTCCCAGCCAGATGTTTGGGATCACATTCACATGATGCTGATTCTGCATAATCCCAAACCTCCTTGGAGCAGATCAGTCTCCTCCCATTTTTCTAAGTGGGGAATTTGTTCTGCCGAACACTTCTGATTTTGATAAATGTTAAATAGTGTATCATATTTGCTACATACATTTTTTGTGGGGTTTTTAGACTTGTAAATGGTAAATGGCCTGCATTTGTATAACGCTTTACTAGTCCCTAAGGGCTCCAAAGCGCTTTACATATCCAGTCATCCACCCATTCACACACACATTCACACACTGGTGATGGCAAGCTACAGTGTAGCCACAGCCACCCTGGGGCGCACTGACAGAGGCGAGGCTGCCGAACACTGGCGCCACCGGGCCCTCTGACCACCACCAGTAGGCAACGGGTGAAGTGTCTTGCCCAAGGGCACAGCGACCGAGACTATCCAAGCCGGGGCTCGAACAGGCAACCTTCCGATTACAAGGCGAACTCCCAACTCTTGAGCCACAATCGCCCCAGTAAATCATCAGTGTGATTTCCCCCCTAAAAATAAATGGCACTATCCATTTTTAAGCAATTAAAAAAGCCAAATGCAGCAAATGTGATACAAATTAAAAGTCATATAAGAAAACTGAAATGTAATTAATGTTTTAAATAAATTTGTCACATGGTTCAATAAACAGTCGATTTTCAAAAATTAGAATTTTCTGGAAATTATTTCATGGTTCAGTCCTCAAATCAGACAATACTTCCATAAGGTTTGGTTGAACTAAATGTGACCCACTCACAGTGGTCAGAGTCTTTGATGTAGTCCACGTTACAGAGGTCCAAGAGAAGAGGTCTTACATTTGGACCTGGTCACACTGGATGTAGTCTCCTCAGACAAACATCAGTGACCTCTGACCCTCATCTGATCCTAAAACAAAGGACCCAGAGGCTGATCTGTGTCCTGGATCTGGTCTGGCTAAAGTACCTGTGCCTCATGTTTCTGCCAACAAGACTTCCGGGTTTATGTAGAGAGGTATGATTCCTCCGCACCCTGATTGGTTTTACCTTTGGGTCCGGGTTCAGGTGGGGTCTGGAGCTCCTGCAGCAGTCGGTCCCGGACCCAATTGAAATCCTGCAGGGACCGCAGGAAGGATTGGAAGGCCCGGGGCCCGCGGCTCGGCAGGAGGTCCAGGAGCCGGAGGGTCTTCTGTCTCTCCGTGGATCGGGACTCGATGTCCTCCACCTGCGCGTCCGTTAAAATCTCCTCCTGGTACAGAAACGGAACGATGGTTTCGCTTACCAGAAGCTGGCCGGACAGCTCCAGCCGGTGTTTTCGGAGGACGGCTCTGTGCACCGGGTCCATTTCACCGAAGCTCATAAAAATAAGCAGTTCCACATCATTAAACTAGTCCTTTGTGTCAGCTGTACAACTACCTTTCAACTGCTCTGTTTTTGTGCTCGGGTGGAAACAAGCAGGCGGAACCAAAGTCTTTGCTAATCACGTTGCGTTCACATTTTTTTATGGTAATACAATCTAAAATTTGCTTAGATTGGTGGTTAATATGGGGTCTATTTGCGTGGAAGGATTGGTTAGTCATTGATCTTAAATTCGGCGTGCGTTTATACCCCGGATAAAATTAACTTTGAGGGAAAACAGATTTTATGCAGATTGGTTCTGATAAGATGATTTCTGGTGACGTAAATGTACGCCGAAGTTCGGTAAGAAGCCTCGCAGAGCGTTCCACTTTACTGATAAATATTCTTCATTAATAAATCCACGAGGAAACCTCAAAAACAAAGTATTGAATTAGGTTCAGCGTACCATAGCATCGAGCAACGTTACCTAACACACAGCATTAGCTAAAAACCAAGGGTAATTTTATAGATACAAGATATTTTTTATTAATAAAAAAAGAAAATAACGTTCATAAAATATCTGCCGAATTCATTAAAAAGCCACAATCTGACCAAAGAAGTTAATATATTTGTTATATATCAGATACTTACATTTAGGAATTCAAAATAAAATTCCCCAAACTGAAAGATTTTCCATGGAGTTCACAAAACCTCGTGTCACATTGTCCTTTATTACAAGCTTTTATTTTCAAAGACCAATTTACAGTTAACTGAATCTGTTTTTGACATTGTTATTGATAATATGTGATTCATATGTTTATTTGTGCTTTCATTTCCGTTTTTCTGACTGAAGGACAAGCTTCGTACAGGCAACCAACATGAAAAAACATGTTATTCTTCTTTAAAATTAAAAGTGATGGGGATTTAAACTGGAATTAACTGAAATTAAAAACCTTTTTCGCACACGTCAAAGTTTTGTGTCTATTCTTCACGTGTTTAATGTCATCGCTGAGATTTTTTTTTTTTTTACTGATTTAATTTCCAGTCAGACATGAGGTTCTACTGATAGATCTGCAAATATGTATGTAATATGTTTTTAACTTAATCCTGTTTCTGGATTTAATGTCCTTCCAAAACATAAACATGATGTTTAAAAAAATGAACCATCTATGATTGTATTATGTTTTTATTAAAAAAAAAAATCTGATTATTAATGAAGATATTCAGCTTTTTCCTTTCAATAAATGATAAAAAAAAACCCAACCATTTATTACACACATACCTGGGCTTCCATAGTTTTGTCCTGTGGGTGTGAATCAATAACAGCATGAAGTATAAGCAGCAGTGAGACATTATTGATGAGGCACCATATAAAATTTATTGATCTCCTGGTAGGAGCTGATCAGTTCATCATTTACATGCTTCAGAAACATACCAGAAATACAGACACGATTAATTATATACTTCATCAGATCACAGGGGCTGCAATATGTACAAGAACGCGCACACGCCCTGCCTGCTTGGTGCATCCATGCTTAATTCAGCTGCTCTTTGTCATCTTCATCATGGAACTGGTCAGATATCAAGGCTGAAGCACAAACAAACACCCTGATTGGCCCTCCTTATACACACATCACAGGACACACCCTGTTTACCTGAGCAGCTACATGACCAAACAGCTCTGCCCCTTCTTCTTGGCTGATGCTGAGCGTGATTGGATGTTTGAAAATGATTTTAAAGAAAGTTGACAGAGCGTGAGCATGCAGCGTCGACGCCCTGTACCCGATCAGGGACAACGTGACAAAAACATAACATGGTCACTTGTGTAACCTTCATTTCTACGGTAACAAACAGGTTGAATCCATGACTAAATGTTTTTTTTTCATTAAATTAAGTGCTTGCATGTCTGTTGGATTAATGAGGCAACCACAAGATTCCACAGGCCCCCCCAAAAAACATGCAATTTTTGAATGAAGTTTGGTTAAATGTGCTCCAGAGACTCAGCATTAACCATCAACACTGGTGGGTGAATATGAATCCTAAAAACAAAAGCTTTTTAATGAGGCTTGGTCAGGGTTTGTTAAACATGTTTGTGAAATGTGGTGGTTCAGCGGGTTTTGTTTTGTTTGGAGACATATTTGAGACTAAGACCATTTAATCCAAATCACACACTTGCACCACATTTCTGGGGATTTTTCTTTTACATTGGGGGTAAAACAAGAACTTTTTGTAAGCAGGAAAAACCCTGATGATTATGATGACGACAACAACAAAGATGGTGCTGAATTTATCGGGACTAATTACTAACACCAGCAGGATGTATTTAGATTTTTGAATTGAGTTTGGCTGAATTGTAGTTAAAGGTTCCTTCCTGAGTAAGGGCTCGAAGCTAGAGATACGGTGTCAGTGAGACTTCCTGGTAAAATAAAATAAAGATATAAACATATTTTTTAACCAGGTCTCAGTGTCTGTGCTGAATTTAGGAGACCATGATACTGGTAATAAAAACGTAGGATATTTAAATTGAGTTTGGTTGGAAGGTCTTCACACAGCCTGAAGCTGGTTCATTGCTGCAGACTGAGGTTATTTGATGAATTGAGCTTTGAAAGTGTGCCTTTCCATCTCCTTGCTACAGAAAAAACAGGTCCTGCACCTTTACAGCTCTGAGCCAATCACAGTTTAAGAAAACTGAGTATTTACTACATGCAGGTACAAAGTCTGAGGAGCTTGTTTTGATTCTGAACGAGGACACCTCGACTCTCCGCCTCACCAGCGTTCACTGTCACAGGCTGTCTGTCGGCCAATCAGAAGGCTCTGTTTACTTGTGTTTACAGGTGGGACTGACAAGCTCTGACTGGTGGAGAAAAATGGAAAATTATTCTATTTCCTGATTTTTGTTTTCCTTCTGTTAATTATTTCCACAGAAATCCTCGCAGAAACTTTCCAACATGAAGAGGCCGAATAATCAATCAAAAGATCAATTAGAAAATCAATCTGGAACCGCTAATTGGTCTAAAATATTTTTTTCTTTTTTTCCACTGATCAAATAATTAATAACTTAATGGGAACAATAATTACTAACTGATCAATAATAAACATTTAAAAATGTGAAAAAAGGTTAATCAATAATCGATTAATATTCATGTTTCAACACTTAAATTACTGTGACCAGGTTGAAAGAGGTTACATATGGAGGACCAACATGGCCAAAACTCTGCACGAAATTATTAAAAACACAAAATAATGACGTTATAAGATAGGACATATTTCAGTATTTGTCTCATTTTGTATTAACACCTCTATTAGTTTTATTTACAATTTTTTCAATTTTTGAATTTTTTTATAAATATTTTAAATGAAAATATTTATATTTTAGTTTTGTTTCTGTTCTTTTTTGCTTTTGTATTTCCCTCCATATTTTCAAAGCTTATTTACTTTAAGTAAAGTCATACAAAGAAAAAAAAAAAAAGCAAAGAAAACATAAAGAAATAAAAACAAATTAAAAGTTTAAAGTTATTTATTTTGTTTAGTTAAGTCATTTCAGTCCTCGTCTTTTAAAAGCATACTTTCTGATTGGCCAGCTTCTGGACACCCACTGTTTACTTTAGATTTGAAATAAAGAGAAAAGCTAGTAACCCATGAACCCACAATTTGCTGTTTACGTTCTTCTGACACCAAACTCCATTCAAAAAAAAAAAAAAAAGTCATTTTAAGTAGGCCTGCTACAATTCGTTGTTATAATTGATCATGTTGACTAAGATGCATCCTATAGAAAAACCACATGAATGCACTTTTGTAATAGCAATACACTACAGGAAGCTCAGGGGGTAGCATCGCCTCTATCACCTGGCAAGACTGCACTCACTACTAACGAAGAAGAACATTGTGTGAACGGCAAAAGTGGATGACAGAAGTAAACTGAAAGGGAGATTAAATTTAAAAAAAAAGTGAAAGTATTTTACAAAAATTAAACAGTTAAACCAGACCGTGCTAAACTGAGCTTTCCTTCCACGACTGCAGTGCATGAGCATTTCAAACGCTGCCACCCTAGAGCTGTTACATCAGCTCTGATGAGTCCGTTATTGAGAGCTAAGTCAGTGCGTCACATTGATACCTTGTTCATGTTCGTACAGTAATGTTTATTTTAGCTTACCTGTTAGAAACCTCAGGATGCTTGCTAAGCATTTCAGTTTTGTTAGCCAATGACTGAAATCCAATAGCAAACCAGTACATTTCTGAAAAGAGGCTGATGCACCTCTCAAATTGCTGAAATCATGAGAGAGAGCATCTTCAGCATGTTTATCAGCAGCTGGGATCTCAAAGACAAGAGTGAGCTTTCCTCCAGAGCATGTCTACTGCAGTTGTGAATTCATGAACTGAATCATCTGTAAACTTCGGAAACTTGTTATTTTGAACCTGAACAAAAATATAATTTTTTTTTTTTTAATTCAAAGCTTTATTTGAGCTTATGGACACTTTTCTGTTTAAAGTAGCACTTTAATTTAAGTTTCTTGATATTTTATTGACTTCACTTTTATTCTGACCGTGCTATTGAGTAATGCTAGAGATACATTGGATTATTTTCAAATTCACACGTTTCCTGGGTAATTATTTGAATTTGCTGTGGAATGAGACAACAGGGTGACAGTCACAGGTGGGCAGACCAGAGAAGGTGAGGTCCTGGAGCCTAGAACAGGAGGTTTGCCCACAGGGACAAGAGTTACTGAAATAATCGTTGACTAATTGAAGAAAAATTGACAGATTAGTCAACTACCAATCTTTAGTTGCAGCTGTAATTTAAAGGGAATGTTTTCCAAACCTGTGCAAATCTGTGATTCATCAGCAGAGCAAACCTGAAATTTAAAATAATTTTATTGTTTTCATGAAGGTAAATAAAATATTCTTGTTTTTATTTATAAAATTAACTTGGGGGCAGCCCGATAGCACCACTTTCCCCCTCTGCATCACTCAAAGTGTCAACAAGCAAAATTAATAACAAAGCTTTTTAAATAATGGTATTTGTAATATGACGTTTCATAGAACCATGTAACATCAGTGACCACATCAGTAACCACTGTAAACATTAATACCTTAAGATACTTCAAATTTATCTGGTCCATTTTAAAAATCAGCATACGGATTCAGGGGAAAATGGACGTTCTGAAAAGTGATGATCTGGTAAAGGTGAGGGGACGACGAGGTGTCAAGTCACCACAGAGCAGAGAGGTAGCTGTGGTCAGGAGGGGTCATGTGACATGGCGTTTCCATCAGACCTTTCCCCTCTGACTCCGGTGTGATTGGCTGCAGACTCAGAGCACATCGACACTGCAGCTTATTGCGTGACCCTGTAGAGCAGCACACGATGGGATCAGTCAGTGGTAAGATGACATCAGTCCTTACACATTGTAGGCGTATTCCGTCAGGTAGTCCTTTAGTCTGTTGGGCAGCGGCAAATCCTGAACCTGCCGTGTCCTTTGGTTGATGGTGATGCGACAGAGGTGCTGCAGGGATGGCGTGGAGGTGTACACGGGTTTGGTGAGTAGCAGCTGCACTGTGCCATTAGGCGGCACCGGAGAGACCCGAGAATTTGATGCCGACGCCGCCTTGTCGCTGCTCCTGGACAGCTGGACGTAGTACTCGACCAGGTGGACCACACTCTTGAACTGCTTCAGCTTGGGCTTCACCAGGACCACCGAGTCCAGCTTGAACTTGCCGTGTTTGAACTCGATCCGCAGGTTGGTGGGACCTGCTGACGTCATGGCGGAGATGGTGAAGAGGTAATCTCTCTGAGAGCTGTCCCGCAGCAGGAAGGTGCCTTCGGAGGTGTCCTGCAGGATCTCTTTGGCTTCATTAGCCGTCAGACTGCCCCAGTACCAACCTGACAGTAAGCAAAAGATGAACTTCAGAATAACCCTTTATCCCAGCTCATCCTCTCTCTGAAACCACCCGTTTTAACCTGTCTCATTAAAAGCTCAGTTTGTTCTGATTAGCCAACTTTTGGAAGCCTGCTCAGGGGTAGCACCCAGTGACCGAGCTGTCTGTATGTGTCAGTGTTTGGAGATCACCAACCCCCCCCCACTGTCGTGCTGAGACCATATCTTAATCTGAAACCACGCCCCCAGTCTCCCTTGCTGTTCCAACAATAAATAATTACTCAAAGTCTTGGTTGGAAACAGGACTTCAGAAACCAACATGTGACGTCACTGTTGCTCACCGCACCTTTATACTAGCTATTAATGGGAACTTAACAGGTTAAAACCACAAAATGACCAAACTAACCAACCAATCAGGATGGCTGCAAAAGAGCAGCTCCCGTTTGTTTCACAGTAAAATGTTTTTGTGAATCTGTCTGGTGGAGCCTGGTGGAGAGTAATGGCGCCACCTAGACCCACACTGATTCTTTCAGGTGTGTGAAACAACATACAGTGCACACCTTTCACTGTTCCCCTGTCTGTCACTGAATGCAGCAGCTGTGGTGCGAAACGGCCCAAACCAGCCAAGGAGACCTTTAGAGACGGCAGTGCCGCTCATGTTATGAGCTGAGAATGAAATCAATCAGCTGATTTGTGGCGGCTGGGTACCTGAAGACTCGCTGCAACGTCTCTGGAGCTGTTAACCATCATGCTTTAAAGAAAAATCTGCTGTGTTTGTGATTTTTCAGCCTCCTGAACAGGACTATTTGATGCACTAAGGTGAGCCTTTTTAGTTTTGGATGTGCCCCCCACTAAATCTGCCAAAATAAAAAAAAAGAACAAGAGGATGGAAACTCCACCTGCTGGGCTTTGGTTTCCAGCTGTTCTCCTCTGGATGGAGACTGTGGAGGCGTAAATCTTTCCTACCCGTGTTTCTGAGCTCCTTCATGGCAGCGGCAATGCGGCTCTCGTCAGATTCCACAGCGCCGGTATTGTTGTCGGCTCGTCTGTCACTCTCGATGGTTTCCGTGGACTCTGAGGACTGGCAAGTCATTGGATAAATCCGACCTTCAGGCCCACAGCTGAGACATGGACAAAGTCTACAGGGCGCAACTGCTCACACCACAGTGTCAAAGTCCTGGAAGTTCAGGAGAAAAACCAGTGAAGAAGAAAAATCTGACAGGAGGCTTGCACACCAGGCTCCACTCAAAAAAAGTTGATCCGAAAATACTTTAGAGCCTGAATGAAGTCTGAAAACATTTAACCAGAAACTCAACAAGAGAAAGTTGTATTTCTCAACATTTCAGCGTTTTTTACGTTCAAGTGAGCCGGTAAATAAAGCTTTATCTTTAAGACAATATTACTCATAAAGACAGATCAGACAGATTTATGTTTCACTAAATAATCAGCTGACTGTAAAACACGAGATTGACTCATCACCTCTAAGTAAATAAATAAATTCAGCACTAAAACAAACAGGTATACAGTCTCTCTCATACCAAACCCCAGTCAAAAAAAGTGCAGATTTAAGACCAAACTGATTGAAATAGTTTAAAACTGTTGGGTGTCAGATTTGTAGATTTTTGGGGGAGGAGGCTGAATGTTTTTGAACAAACCTGACATCTGAACTCTGCAGAGGCATTTTTGTCCAAACTGAGAGAAATTCGTAAAAACAAACAAAAAAGGCCAAAATCACATTCTTTTCCTGGATCTTCGTTATTATTTAAAAAAATTTAAGTTCATATGAGACAGAAAGGAATTTCAACTTTAAACCTTAACCATAATCAAACACATCAGCTAAAAACAAAAAGCGAAGTAACTTTAAGGTCAAAAATGCCAAAAGACTGATGATGTGAAACAAAAAAAAAAAAAATGTACATAGTGTCTATCAAAGAGTATTGTTTATTTCTTCACTACAGGAAGATTTTCAATGGCTTTAACTGAGCAGTATTTTTTCCCTCTTACCAAATTCCAGTCAAAAAAAGTCCACATTTATGACCACTGGTTAAAACTGCTTTGTGTGGCATTTGTGTGGCCTTTAAAAACAAAACAAAAAACAACAACAACAATATTCACCATAACTATCATTAAAGTGTTTTAAAGACTGGGGAGAAATAAAGCAATAATAGAAAGTTAAAACATTTTAGACTGGCACTCTGCCGAAGTCCCTTTAATGCTTTTATATTTGAGTAAATAGTGGAAATCATTCAGATGAGAAATGTGTTGAAGGGCTCGGTGTGTTACTCCTGTCCTCTGTTAGGTTAACTCTGTTATCTCACATTCCTGAGTGCTTATGCAACTTATCTCTGCAAAGACAAACCTCCAAACATCTTTCAGAGACCAGCTTCTTTATTCTGTGCAGCAGATATAGTGGCAGTTTTAAATTAACTCAGGTGGAAGGTGAAATCTTATTAACTAAACTAATAGAGTAAAGAGACACCTTAAGTTCCTCGTCTGTCCATCATGAAACAAATGCTGTTTGACTGCTTTGTGTTTAAACAAAGAAAGTATGTGAATGTTTCAGCACATAACAGCAGACTGAAGTTAGATTAATTCATTTTTCCACCTTAGAAAGCAGTCAGGTGAGGTGGTTCTTGTTCAAAGTGGACTTTGGGGGACAGGCCACATGTTTACATTCCAGGCAGCCTTAAAGCAGCTGAATTTCTCACAGAATTTGGTGAGAGATCTCCATTTCCCCCCCGTGGAATAACCTGCTTAGTATTCAGGCCAGCAGGGCAAACACAAGAAACGGAATAAATACAGGCTGCTTGTTCCTGTGTGCACAAATCAGTACTGCACTCTGATGTCTTGTTGTCTACAACAGTGGCTTCCGTGAAGAATGAGAATTACAAGAATTTTAACTGAATTTGGAAAAACTGGGCTATTTGGAAAAAGCAAACTAAGCGTACAGTTTAAAACCTGCTGTGAGGTTTTATGTCTGACTGCAGAGGACAAAGGACGCAAAAATCACTGTTTTTAAAAGCGACTTTGCACTCTGACCTCGGAAACAAATTAAATGAGGCGATTTTACAATAGAATTTGTTAAAAAAAAAAATTCTGCACGTATAGCTGCTAATAATAATAATAAAAAAATATTGGTGTAACCGAGGAACAGGCTGTCAGGAAAGAACAAATATTCTGTTTTGTTTTTTTTACACCGAGGTCATGAAGAAATATTACAGTGACTTCGAGTTTAAATTCTATTTGGCGAAACAGCAGTGAGTAATGCAAAATTAATTAATTTTATTACAATAACTTTGTGGACGGAATAGAAAGGAGAGCTGTGTAAAGCAGGATACATAATCCGCTTGTTTTTATTCAAATCTACACAGCTTTGGGCACGGAGATGAATTTGGAAGAATTTTGAGTAGAATTTGGTATAACATGAACAGTTCTACAACGATGATTAAAAAAAGAGCCCTTCCTAAAGCAAAACCTGGACGGGGAGTTATTGTGTGCCGAACTGAAGAATGGGCTGTAAAAATAGCGGGAAAATTAGATTATTACGTTTTAATCAGATGCGAACACCGAGAAGCTTATTCTAAATGTGAACGCAATTCGACAGGCAGTAGAAGGGCTCCCATTATTCTGGGTAAAATAATCGAACTTGGGAGCACAGGTCAGTGCAGAAGGCTCTGTGCAGTCTGGAGCGTATTATCGGCGTGTTACTTGTCTATTTGGGTGCGTGTTTACCCACCTGGTTTGAGTTTTGGTGATATGTTGGTGATAAAAACAAGCACACGCACCTGACTGCTTTACGTCCTGCTAGCTGCTGTCTAGCTAAAAGTCACGGCGGGCTCAGCAGCGCTGCCGCCGATGTGTCCTCGGGGGGGCCCGACATGTCCCCAGTAACACTTCTAGTCCAAATCCCGAGAAACGCTCCGCTGCTGGAGGTTTTCCTTCTTTCTTGTCTTTCCCGATTTACAAATGGCGGGTTACAGTGCAGATAAACGGAGGTCCCTGCCGTCTCTCTGACACCCAGTTCCACCCGGGGAGCAACCGCGCACCGGCAGCTACCGGAGAGACCGAAAAGCACCGAGCGGGTCCTAATCGAGCGTCCGAACGTCCGTCAGAGAGCTGGGCACAACCGAGTCCAGCAGCTGCCTAAGAACCAATGTCACCATAAACACAAAGGCAGCATTTCCAGGAACTTTCCAGGAACACGGTCACGTGGTGCCACGATTTAAGGTGGACTGACGTATGCGGCTGTTGGTCCTCCTGTCTCTGTAAGGACCCACCTGGAGCCACTCACAGGCTCTCTCTCATTAAACTCAAACCAGGTGTTAATGCCCACACAGAAAACAAAGTGAAGATCACCCATGTTGCAGTGATGCATCACTTAGTCTCAACTAGCGCCTCCTATATGTCACTGTATATAACACTGTTTAATAAATGATAGTTACCAATAGTGATGCGCGGATCGATCCTGAAATATCGATTCCTCCGATACCAATCATTTATGTTCTAGAACCGATTCTCACATTAAAACATCGCTATTTTAGTAATTTAGAGTAAATTTGTAGTTCATCACTAACAGGAACACAGCGGGAAGAAACTAACATTCGGATTGTCTACATTCAGAGGAACTACTTCCTCTTCCGCCTTTCATAGTCATGTGCGAAATACAGCTGTATAAATGTCTCGCAGGCCCCTTGGTGTGCGCACTCGCAACAATGGCTGAGCCTAATTGTGCAGAATTATTTTACCTCCACAAACAGCTGAGATGTGGTTTGCCATACATGTGGCAAAAAAAGTGCTCCAAGAGTGAGGTGTTGTGGCCATACTAGGGAGACATTCAAAGGGCTGCTGGGGGGGAATACATTTTACAGGGTTTATTTATCGGATAAAATACGTTAAATCTCACCGTTATTATTGGCCAGCCCGGAAACAGCGGGGTGTCTGTTTTGGAGGAAGGAAGTTTCAGGGTTTAAGTAGTCATCATCATGGACTCATCCGATTAGAATGAGAATAAGCAGTCATCAATCATTTGCAGGTTTTGTCTTTTTAATTAGATAACGGGTAAAGGAAAGACACATGGACTGCTATCACTAAAAGGGACAAAGTATGATTTAAGTAACTCAAAATAATACATGGACTCAAAGAGAAACTCACCTCAGCTGCCGCCCGTGTGGGAGTGAAGAAAGAGTGAGGGGTAGGTGAGTGCAGTTCTTATATAACGAGTGACAGGTGAGTGCAATTAAGGCCAAGCACCACCCCCAATCAAAGGTGAGGACAAGAAACAAAGTGCATCTGCCAGTAGGTGGCGGTAATGCACCTTTCAATTGTTTGCCAACCGCCAATACAACTGTAAGAAATAAGAAGAAGAAAGTGCATCTGATGAAGTGAATGTGCTGAAAGGTAGTGATGGGCAGATGAAGCCCCATGAAGCACTGAAGCTTTTCATCCAATTGGTTCACCCCAACGCGAAGCTTCATGA